AATTAAATTTTTTTTTAAATCATTATATTTTTTTCTTTTGTGCCATAATGTGTAAAAAATAAACAGTAATGATAATAATTGAACTCTTATTAGCAGGAGAGTTTCTGTTTCTGTTTATAATGTATGTTTCATTGACTAGCGCATTATTTTGAAAATTCCATGGTTCAACGGTGCTCTTGTTTTTGCTTTGCAAATTAACCGACGCAACAATTGTATACTTCACACAGCCGCCTCTTTTTGCAAATAATTTAATGAGCAAAAAGTGTGCCGGTGGGGCCAGTAAATAATCCACCCATCGAAGTAGCACTTGGCAGACGAGGGTCTTTTTCCCAACACTGACCAGAAAGAAGAAACGCAGAACAAAGAGAGCTGGCTGGCTGGCCGGGGTTTGTGTACCTTGAGCGGCGGCCAAACGACGTCGCAAACACCACAGAAACTCATTTTGCGTGGGCTAGATTTAGAGTGGAAGTGTGTTGTCCAGGCAGTTCATTGTTGGTGCCGCGAAAAGGGTCACCGCTCTCTCCCCCGCCGTAACAAAAAATGAATAGGCCACGCGCGCTAACAAAGCACGCGCGTTTTGCGAAAATGAGGAAAATGTAAGGGATAAACTACAACGGCAACAAAGAGCGGTCACGATAATAATATTTCATCTCTGCCAAGAACAAAATTCACTGGAGCGATACGAGGCTTGATGTGCAATTCCAAAAAGTCATAAAAAGTGCTGCTTGGATTTTTAGGACTTTTTTGTGTACGATAAATGGAAAAAAATTGCACATTTCCGCGTTTTATATAATTACAGGCAGGGTTTTTTTAATATTATAAAGGGAACTCGGAACTCTTATATTATCTGGCTAAATTAGCTTGGGCTTAGGAAATCAGCTTTCACTCATTGGACATTGTGTTTGAAAATGAATAAAATTTTTTATTTCTTAATTTGCCTTATTTTTTTTATAATACCTATTTATTCATAAATTCCTTATCTTTGAAAAAAAAATGAGAAACAAAAGCTACCAACTAACTCAATTAATTATTAATTAATACAATATCAAGAAATGTCCTCCGTATATTTATTACTAACAATAAGGATATCTTTGAAAAGTGACGCATTGCAGGATTTCCTTTTGAAGTCGCAAAGTGCAATTTCCATTCAACCTTTACGTCATTCCAATAAAACTTGAGGGTTTCATTAACCCATTTTCCGACGCATACAAACAATGCTGAGCGACTTAATGAACTTTAATCACATTAATTGCCTTCCTTTGTTCCTGTTTCGCGCCCCGCATCTCTCACTCAGCCTTCACTTACATATAACGACGCACGACAACACAACACAAGTAAAACTGAAATATTGTGGCAGAACCGCAATCCAATTACGATCGGGAGCTCCATTAGTCGGAAGGGTCCGCCAATTCCTCTTTTAACTCAACGACCGAGGGTTCGTTTATCACCAATGGATCGCATTTCGCGAACAGAAATTAAACCTAGGCAGTGGATCGAGTGCACACCATGTGACCACTACAACTACAAATCATTATTTCTGCAAACGCACAGCGTGTGTTCTGCGGGTAATCCGATATATGTGCTGCGAAATAAATGTGATATTTGAGTTGTCAAACCCAATGCGCGATTAATTATTTGTTGATAAATAATGGCAGCACTGAGGATTGATTTCTGTCACTGCAGACCTCCCGTGAGTGTTTTTCCAGCACATTGATTTAAAATTTGAATCGATTTAACTTTCACAAATTTTGCCTCGGAGAACACTTTATTTGCAACGATATTTGTAATAATTTTATTAAAATTAATTTTTTTCTTTGACCTCAGAAACTTGATCAATTGTCTTTTTTTTCAATGTTAATACGATGTTGATTTGATCCTTATGGCACCTCAATTAACTTAATTGGTATTTAGAATACAAAAATTACAAAATCTTGGGAAGTCTGCTATTGAGTATTAAAAATAAACTTTTCTATGTTAAGAAAGTTCAATAAATCAATTGATAAAAAAGTAAATATGAAAAGAAGCGAGTCGAAGACGTCCGCTGCCAAACTGTTCGCACCAACTTTCCCCTGTTGCTTTTTGGCCCAAGTTTCAGTCAGTGACTCAGGCGCAAACCTCGCCCAGACCTTCACAGACGTTTAAACTAACTTTGCGCACTTCTTGCAATTCGCCTTCCACTCACTTAGACAATCCGGCGTAAAAATGTGCTTGTTTGCGCAGCACGGAGGATTCCTTTCTGACTCTGTTTATTTTTCCCCATCCACCTAAAGAACGAGAGAACGTCTGGCGGTGACGGTCACGTGCTTGCACGAGCTCAATGGAAGTCCAATTTCGCAAAGAGCTTGCTGCGAACCTGAGCCCTCTTAGAAATTCACGATTCACAAGTTGCTCGAGGGCAATCGCGAATTGCCAGCCTTGCAAATTCGCGAAAATCTCATTTTAAAGCTGATTCCGCCTCCCCAGTTGAGCGGTGACGATGCAAGAAAAGGCAATAAAAACCTCTCAATAGAAGCTACTCTATACAAAGCAGATATATTTCATGAAAATTTGTGACTCTTCTCTACGCTTCTTATTCAGCATAGTTTTTTGAATTAACTGATGCCAAGGACCGCGTGTAGAACAATTTTTTTATTTGATAATAAACCACCTTATATTTAATAATCTAATGTTGAAATTTAAAGTAATTTCACTGATTTCACATCTCCTATACAAGGGAAATAAGGAATGAAATCAATTAAACATTCTTTTCCAAAATTGCTTGCAAATGTTCTTAAAATGACAAAAAATGGTAGTATCTTATAGTATCTTAATTTCTTTCAAAATCAATAGTTTGAGTTTAAATTGATTGAAGTGCGAAAAAAAAATCAGTAAATTTTCCTACAGTCATAAATAATTGGCTTCAAATATCAAAATATTTAGTCCACCTCTGACCTGGTAAAAGGCTGAGAGAAAAACTTCAGCGGCCCAGACTATTTAAACTCATGTCGTATGTAGTAATTCACAACTCATTTAATTTGATTTAATTAAATTAAAAACGTTTGATATCGTCATCAAAAAGAAATTCTCTTACTTAGTATGCAAATGCGCACATTTTCCGTTGTAATGAAAAACGACTCTCTCATAACGCGTAATTGCAAAAAAGTCAAAAGCGTCCATTAAAAACGCCCAAGCAGTCCATTAACAGCGTCATTAAGATTCAAAACGTTCATTTTTTCCCCATGCAAAGAGCAGAGAAGACGTCTGGAATTTTATTTGAAATGAATGAATTATTCTGTTTCGCAAAACGCCGCCTCTCGGAAACAACGCTAACGAGCGTTTCGCGTAGTATAATAGCCGTTTTTGCACGGCCGCCTGAATACATTTTGCTTTTTGCCTTGGAGAACGTAGGCAAGGAACAAAATAACACGCGCAGCCATTAGAAACAATTTGCGTAGGGGTGTAAATTGTTGGCAGGCAAACTTTGTTGGCGGCGAACAAACCAGTCTTTATACCTTTCCACGGCAGATGTGTCGTAACTCACACTTTTCCATGGTTTGTACTCGCACCACATATGTATGTATCCGCAGCAAATCTAGGTGTGTATAGTTGATAGTTGGATATGTCAGCCACGTCTGAAACACTCGCGCGCTCCAATTTACTTTTCCCGTTTCGCAAAACAATTTTGACAAGTTAATTGTAGCAAGTCTCTCTCTTTTTAACGAGGAAGGTTAGAGTCACGTCGAGTGTAGTTTTTTTTTCAATGTGTGTCATGAATGAAGCGTTTCTCTTCTTTACAGCAGTTTGTAATGCACTTTTTACTATACTGTCAGTTTTGCGTGACAAACTTGAGAGAAAAATGTCGCAAATTGAATAACTTTCTTTTATGTACACTAGGTTGGGAAATTAGTTTCCTGAAAGGAAGGACAGAATGGGTGACGTTAGAAAAGTGGAGAGAGTACAACGAGAAATAGAATGCAATTTATGCGATATGGCCATTCTAGTATCAAACAAACTTGCAGTGCTGGAAACAAAAGAGTTTGCTAAAGATTATGACCAGGAGGCGTCTTTCAGCACCCAAGTGGAATTACTTGTAATTTTCAAAGTTGCAAATTGCTGATATTTTACAAACGTATTTTGATTATATTTTTCTTTGATCTTTTTTGTACTATTGAAAGTGAAAACATGCAAAATTTTAAATAAAGAGCTGGAATAAATATTCTAGCTTGGCATTGCATAAATAATTGAAAAATGAACATTTCAAAATTGTTACCAATAAATTGTGTCTATATTCGTAGCATATTTTCTTAAAACTATTTAAAATATTTTGCAAACTGCTATTTTTCCAACAATGATGATTTCTTACACTACGCAAGAAATTATTCTAATTCAGTGCCAAGAAGTGGGATCGGAACTGTAACAAACGTTCAAGATGTTCAACACGGGCTATGAAAAATTTGGATTCAATAATCAATATTTCAGGCGTTTGTTTAAAAAAAACCAATAAGGACAATTACCTGTGTTTCTGTTTGGTGATTAAGTTTAAAAAAACCTGCTTCCTCAAATCATTCAGATTTAATTGAAATTAACAATGCATTTTCTCTCATTCCCAAGCCAATTAAATGATTATTCATGAACTTCTGTGCAAGCAAAATGAGTAAAACCACACATTTAAATTTTATGTAAACTTCACTTCTGAAAACTTGTCTGCGCAGACAAAGATTAAAGTTTGGCGCGTCTCCGTCAGAGCCATACAAATTGGCTCAAGCGAGGAAAAATTATCTGCAAGCTCACTCGTGAGAAGTCTAGCGAAAAATTTGCATGTAACAAATCGCTCTGTACGCGCTATAAAAGTTTGAAAAGTTTCAAAGCTTACACAAATGGACAATATATTTCGCTTTTTTTTCCCACTTTTTTACGAGCTTTGGCCTGCGGGGTTAAACACTATTATTCGCACAAAGTCTCACATATTTACAAAGTATTACAAGTCGCACGTGCTCAAAATTTCTCATTTCTGCTTTCAGGTCCAGCAGCTGCGACGGAGAGATGCCCTCGGCGCCACAGTGCTGCGAGGGAGAGACTGCTTGTGTTAATTACACACCTAGGGAATGTGCTCAAGTCGAGTGCCTAACAACACTACTTTTATTGATTCTAGAAAGGAACTATTATATAATATCTATTAACGAATAAAAAACACGAGGTGTTTTCGCCGCGAGATTTCCTCCGACTCGATCCCCTATTGAATTCAAAGAATTCTGAGCCCCGTGCTATGATCTCGCTCTGGTCATAAAGAGTCGAGTCTTTGGAAATCTCACTCAACTCACCCTTCGATAAGATTAATGTTTTAATTGTTTTGGAAAAAAACCAATGGCTCATTATTCTCGTTAAGCTGTTTTTTGTCTCGATCGTTGATGTTTAACGCATTTTGAATGTATAAAAACCGTAAAAAGCTGAAATTCCAATCGCATACCCTTTGAGCCGGGACATGCGATCGCAAATTTCAAGCCAGCTGTTTGTAGACGTATAACGTGTAAATAAAAAAAAACTTGCTTCCATCTGAGAAACAAATTGTAGCATATAAAATATTAAATGTATAATAGGGAGAATGTAATAAAAAAAGTTGAAAGTCTCCTAAGCGTTGAAGATAAAAATATTGTTTTATGTAAAAAAGAATAAATAAAGAACGTGGAACATCAAACGTGATGTTATTTTGTGTATAAATAAAGAGACGGCTCCTCCCCGGAAAAAGAGATGATAGGAGCTCATCTTTTTGTGTCTCAAAATCGATAGACTACTATTTCACTGTTATCAGCAAAACTGACTTAAAATAAAGATGTCTTATCTAATTGGTGGCGGAGAACAGCAACCGAGTGATTTTTTATTTTACAAATAAATAACCCATCAAAGCCTCAAGAATATTACAAGATTTTAAAATGCACATGTTGCAGTATTTAATTGTTTAAATCAACCAAAATACGTTTTTGACAATATTGTGCTCACAATTTTGAAACTTAAGAAATACTCCTTTTGCCGCCTTTCGCACCATAAATAAATATTAATATTATATTCAATTGAGTATTTTATTACAATATAAAAAATATTGTTAAAATATTTAAATAAGATTAAATTTAAATCTGTTTTCAGATGAAAATGAAAACTGATAGAGAGAAGATTTCTTAAACAGTGTTTAAGATACTTATAGAGCCCTTTATTAATTATTTTTAAAAGACGCAAATAAAATTTTATATAAATAAAATCATATTCACATAATTTATAGTTAAACAAAATAATTTTTATAATAAAAAAGTGTTTTGATAGTGTAAACATAAAAAAATTGCTATTTTGTAAAAGAATTTTTTAAAGTTTAAAAAGTATAAGTGGTATAAGTATAAAAATTAACCAAAGCGAAAATATAAAAAATCATTAAAATGTTTTGATTTATAATTATGTTTATCGTCAAGGCTATAGTCGTAGAGCGTTGGGAATGCAAAAAAGAAGCAAGCTAAGCCTATAAAGTTTTCGGAAATATCTGTGGTCCGAACTGTCATAAATCTGACAAACTTTTTCTGTTCCACGCGAGAGCAAAAAGCGTGAAATCTGAACACCACTTTTTCATTTCACGCGAAAAAAAAGTTGACGGGTGGCGCGTGTCGTAAATTAGAGTCTAGCTAGAGACCACACAAAGCGCTAAATTTGGCAGGCCGACCAGTGGAGGAAAAAAGCGCGCAGTTCATTAAACATTATGGAGGAAAACAGAGGCACCGCTGAAGGCAGTAAAAATTTAAGTGCCGCTCTTTGAGCCACTCTCTTGCGCGCTATTGATCTGCGGCAGAAGCAATTTACCTCCTTTTGGCACATCTCGCTTGCTCGCCATATTAATTTCGTATAACAGACCCCAATGACAAATTATCTGCGCATCTCACACATAATTTAATTATCTCCCATATCGTCCTTAACTGAGAGAAACGACTCATAAAAAGATCGTGAATTTTTCTTCATCATTAGTCATTAGGGTTGGGAAACTTCGACTAAATGCAATTTTATTTTTCTTTGTATACTATCAATTCTTCACTAAAATTAAAAATGGAATTGATATCTAAAAACGAAAAAATTAAATCATTTTAAATATGCCATCTGATGCCATCTATCAAACAAATATGTATATTATTCGCACAATAACAATGATGATGTTAAAATGATAAAGGAGTGCTCTTTAAATAAATTGCCCTACTTTTAAGATATTCAATTCAAGAAACTCTAAACGTTCATTAATTATTATTTATAAAGATAATGAATAAAAACAGTTAGAAATTCATAATAAGACTGAAAAACATAAGGCTAAATAATTGATTTATTCTTGTAAATTCATATGAGAATGTCACACAGTTACCAAAGAATCAAATATCAATATTTAGAATGAATTTAGTTTGTTTGAAGAAGTTGACACTCGAGGAGATGATCATGGAAATGAAGAGGACCAAAACTGGTAGAGCCATTATTTGTTTTTGAATAAAAACAATTTTTTTGCAACGAGGAAAAGCCCGATCACTTCATTTCCACGAATTTAGTTGCAAATGATTTTTATTGATATTGTGTTTAGGATCAGACTTTATTTTTGTTTTTTCTTTTAGCCTGGCACTTCAGATTTTTTCAGATCTTTTTGTCAGTACAATTGCATTCAATTTTTATAAATTGTTCAGATAAATTTCATTAATTCGCCTGATATACTGGTTCAAATATTGCTGCAACAGTTTATTTTTTCGTGGATTAATATTTTAGAAATTTTAGAAGTTATTATAAAATGAAATAGATTTTTTCACCTAAATAAACACTTACCAAGTTTCCTGACGCGAGTAATAAAACAGAAGAAAATTGCAGAAATCTAATTCAATTTACGACTGGAGTAAAATTAATTCTCTGCAGGCTAATCATGAAAACTGCAAACGCGATTACTTCGCTAATGAGACGATAAAGCAGATTATTTCCCAGAATGCTAAGTGAGAGATCACACGAGGGGTGTATTTTTTTCCATTGGCAAATCCAATCAAACGGAGCTCGCTGTTCTCCTTGGTGCAAGTTCATCCGGGATTTAATTAAACTTCCCGTTCTTGCTGCGCTGCTACAAACGAACTTGTTTACAAAAGTCGAGAGAGGAGTCTGTTTCCTCTCAATGGCCGGGCGCGCGCTCTCATTTTTTCTTCTTTGAATTAGCCAAATATCCAGCAGCACGTGCCTTTACCCTTACCGTGACCTTTGTTAATTTGACGATCGCCAGCAGCACTTTCGCCGCTCGATCATTTTTCAAGACACGCGGCAGATCTCCATTAAAAGTTGCCTGGTTTTTTGCTATCCCTACTCGAGCTACTTAATTGGACTTGCGGGACTTGTTCGATGCGACAACGATAACGTTGTTTTCCAGATTAATCTTTTGTAACTCAAACTTTTGAGGAAAGCGTTTTTCTGAGGGCTATGAAACATTGTTCAAGATTGCATCTTGCAACTTTTAGCTGAATAATTAACGCACACAATTTTAGTTTTTAATTATCCGTAAATTGTGACGTTGGGAACTTTTGGAGATTTTTTTTTTAGAAAATAAATGAATAATAATTTTAAAATCTTTTCATTTCCAAAAAATTTTGAAAGCTTTGAATGTTTGGATTTGTAGTTTGGAGATAAATTTAGAGAAAAAGTTGTATTTTTTTCCCAGTAAAAAACTTTCCTTCCGCTTATTCGTTATTTACTGATCATACTTTATTGTTTTATTATCAAATCTTTATTTTTTCCAAGACATGTGTATATGATTACATAAACTAGTATAGTTTTCATGAATTGTAATTTACAGCATTATGTGAATACATTTTTACCTTATTGAAAACATTCATATTTCTAAACAACAGTTTTTTACTTTTCACCTGAGACTTCTGAAATTAATAAGAAGGTTAACGGAAATTTGGCATACATGAACCGTTCGGCCCTATATTTCTTGTTTCATTCCAGGAAAATGCCATTTTATTGACAAGAGTTTCCTTCTTCGGATTGATATTTGAGCAAACAAAGTATTATTCTCCATGACGATCACTCTCAGCTGCTTGTTTATATTTATCTTGCCTTTTTTCAAGGAAGGAAACAGCGGCGTGGCACGAAGGAGCCAGAATCGAATTGCGAGGTGACGGCGGAGGAAAACTTTATCAGTCCGCAGCAGCCACGAGCGAAAGCTGCTAGGGGTGTCACACCCCCGAACACACCACTGAACACAAACAATAACTGCACACGCCACTAAACTTGGTAAACAGAGAGCGCGGCGATTTTGGTCTCTCACGTCGCAATTTGAGCAGAAATCCGGCAAATATACTTGCAAAGAGATTAACCGACACTGATAGGGTCATACAACAAGAGGACAACACGTTGCGTGGATATAGAGCCCCGATGGATTCGGTGACACAAAGCAGATTCAGAGGGCAAATAATCTGTGCACTACCCAAGTCGTCTTGCTGCTTGGGATCGCCACGTTACGCTCTAATATGGAAATGTCCAAGAATATAATTATATTAAAAATTAGAAGCACAGAAAATGATACATTATATGACTTGCCAGATAATTAAATTTTTATCTCGTGTTTAAATATCATAATATGTAAAAAAAAAAAAAGAAAAACAAATTGAAGTCTCCTAAAATAACAAACATAGATTTCAGTTACAAATGTCACGTTAAACTGAACTCAATTTAAATTTATATAATTTTTAATAAGTGAAATCTATTATATTAGAATGTTCGAATGTTCAAATCTTCTGATTTTTCTAATTTATAAACAAATAGGAAGTATATAATTTTATTATTTGCATTTAATTTGTTTTGTATGACATACTTTTGTAAGAAGATAAATAAAGGCGATTTCAAGTTTTGGTGCTTTGATGGATTAATTTTAACTTTTCCTCTTTGGGCAAAATGTGGTACTCCACTGTTTGTTTGAAGCACCGCGATAAACTTGCCCAATCTAGGGCAGCTCGTTGGTCGTTTGATCGGTTTAAATGAGACGACGAGCTTCTCTCATCCTGGTGCACTTGGAATTTATTAGTCGCCCAGAGAGAAAGCAAACAAAACTTCACCTGCGCGACTCGAGGTTTGTCTTTCGACAAGATTATCCGCTTACCTGGGGCTCGTCAATTCGGATTATTCCTGATATTGAAGCGCTACAATTTGCCTACAATCCTATACTAACATTAAGGATGGTCCTCAAAAATTTCTGAATTTACGCTTCCACAGATAGTTGGATAGTTTTATAATAAAATCTCGATTTGATTGAGATAATGTGCCTTACCTCGTCAAATACCTTCAACGTTTTGAACATAAATACAATTAATTTGGGCTATGCGATATGGAGATGTCAATGTTTTGATCAAGATGATGCTGTTATATCGAGTTGATTAAAAATATGCAATTTCTAAGTTCCATTTTATGGAGATTTTATATTAAAATTAAATTTTTGGTGAAAGTATATAAATTATTTTTTTTAAAGTTCTATTTAGAGCACTTTTTTAGGAATGTTAATTATTTAACATTTAAAATGTTTGTATCTAATGCTTATTTTAAATTTTTTTTGCATTGAATGATGACATGTTAATCACTCACAATTATTCTGATTAGAAGATTTTGAAACCATTTTTAAACGTAAATAAATTATTTGATTTTACTGGTGCATTGTCTAGAAGTGAGTGTTTTGTTTCTTCAATATTAAATGTCAATGAGCATGTTTTAATTTATTATTAATAATGTATAATAATGAAAATTTTTAATAATCTTCCATTTCAAGTTAAATTATTACGCAAAATGGCAAAATAGACCAAAATTGAACGAGCTATA